ACACCCCACAATCGAGCTCCATCCTTTTGGGGGAACCTTTCATGAGTACCGCAAAAACATTAATTGATGTAGCAAATGGTACTTTGTCTATGGAGATCGATGGTGAGGTGATCAACTTTAATATCTTTCAAGCTATGCGTTATCCTAATGATATTCATTCTTTAAAGTTCATAGATGTTATTGATTCATGTACTAATGATTGTTTCAACTTTTCAAGCCAAGATGTGCTAACCACCATCTTGAGCAAGCATTTTGATGAAACAGGGATCAAGAATCTGGCTGATAAGTACACCTTGGAGGATGATTTGATGGAAGCAATCAACTCCTTGGAGAAAGCATAGCCTATGAGGGTTGAACCACCCCGCATGAAGCTCAAGAACTTCGATCCGAAACTCCTTCCATCCATAGTACACCCACCAAGTCTTGAGTTGAAAACTCTTCCCGACCATCTCAAGTATGCCTATCTCGGAGAGGAAGAGACATTACCGACAATAATTTCAACCAAGCTAGCAAAAGAAGAAGAAAAATAATTGGTTGAAATTTTGAAAAAGTACAAGGAGGCTAATGGTTGGACCATTGCGGACATAAAAAGGTTGATTCCATCATTATGCATGCACAAAATACGGATGGAAGAGGATTTCAAGCCAACCTGTGAAGCCCAAAGGAGATTGAATCCACCTATCATGGAGGTAGTGAAAAAACAGATCATGAAGCTCTTGAATGTAGGTGTAATCTATCCCATTTCTGATACCGGTGATACTTTCAACCAAGCTAGCAAAAGAAGAAGAAAAATAATTGGTTGAAATTTTGAAAAAGTACAAGGAGGCTATTGGTTGGACCATTACGGACATAAAAGGGTTGAGTCCATCATTTTCATGCACAAAATACTGATGGAAGAGGACTTCAAGCCAACTCGTGAAGCCCAAAGGAGATTGAATCCACCTATGATGGAGGTAGTGAAAAAAGAGATCATGAAGCTCTTGAATGCAGGTGTAATCTATCCCATTTCTGATAGTAAGTGGGTAAGTCCCGTGCAAGTTGTCCTGAAAAGGCTGGAGTCACTATTGTTAAAAACTTCGAAGGGGAATTGGTACCCACCCATGTGAAAAACAGGTGGAGGGTTTGTATTGATTATAGGAAGTTGAATGATTCCACACGTAAAGACCACTTCTATTTGCCATTTATTGATCAAATTCTCGAAAGATTAGCTGAGAAATCTCATTATTGCTGCCTTGATGGTTTTTCTGGTTTTCACCAAATTCCGGTTGCCCCGAAAGACCAAGAGAAAACCACATTTACATGTCCCTTTGGCACCTTTGCATATAGACGCATGTCTTTCGGCTAGTGCAATGCACCCGCGACTTTCCAAAGATGTATGGTGAGCATATTTTCAGAATATGTCGAAAATATCATAGAGGTTTTCATGGACGATTTTATTGTTTATGGAAATTCTTTTAAGGAATGTTTGCAAAATCTCACCAAAATCTTACAATGGTGCATTGACACAAATTTAGTCCTCAATTATGAAAAATGTCAATTTATGGTTGACAAGGGCTTGATACTTGGACATGTGGTGTCACAAAAAGGTTTAGAAGTTGACAAGGCCAAAATTGATGTTATTAAGAGCTTACCATACCCGATGAATGTTCAGGAAGTGCATTCTTTTACTGGTCATGCAGGTTTTTATCGGCGATTTATTAAGGATTTTTCCAAAATCACGGTGCCGATGTGTCGACTTCTACAAAAGGAGGCCGATTTTGAGTTTGGTGATGGATGTAAGAAGGCATTTGATTGTTTGAAAGACTTGTTGACATCCGCCCCTATTATTCAACCGCCAAATTGGGATCTTCCATACGAGATAATGTGCGATGCTAGCAATACCACGCTTGGGGCGGTTTTGGGACAAAAGATTGACCGAGCTCATCATATCATCTACCATGCATCGAAGACTTTGGATAGTGCACAAAGAAACTACACCACAACAGAGAAATAGTTGCTTGCTATTGTCTTTGCTCTAGAGAAGTTCTGACAGTACCTCCTTGGAACTAAAGTGATCATATATTCGAACCATACAGCCATAAAGCTGTTAAGTACAAAGAAATATTTGAAGTCGAGGTTAATACGGTGGATGCTGCTTTTTCAAGAGTTCGATATTGAGATCAAGGACAAGAGTAGAAAGGAGACTTTAGTTGTGGATCATCTAAGCCGCACTGTATCACCTGAAGATGGTATACCAATCTTTGACACGTTTCCAGACGAGCATCTATTTGTAGCCAAAGAAGCACCATGGTATGCATATATCGTCAATTATTTGGTCACAAGTCAATTTCCCCCAGATTCACCCCGTTAGCAAAAAGATAAAATCAAGAAGGAGGCCAAGTGACACATATGGGACGAATTGTACCTTTGGAAGTATTGTGCATATCAAATGATCCGAAGGTGTGTTGAGCAAAAAGAGGTACAATCTATCCTTAATTTTTTCCATGCTTATGCTTGTGGTGGTCACTTTGGAACCCAAAGGACACCTAGGAAAGTTTTAGATAGCGTATTCTTTTGGCCTTTTATATTTCATGATTCTTATGTGTTTTGTGCACATTGCGGAAAGTGCCAAAAATCCGGTTCTTTAAGCTTTAGGAATCAAATGCCCCTTACTCCCATTTTAGTATGTGAGATATTTGATGTATGGGATATTGACTTTATGGGACCATTTCCACCCTATTTTGGTTGTTCATACATTTTATTGGCAGTAGACTATGTGTCCAAATGGGTGGAGGCTATGGCTACCCATACTAATGATTCCAAAGTTGTGGTAGATTTTCTTAAGGTACACATTTTCTCACGGTTTGGCACACCAAAGGCGCTCATAAGTGACCGTAGGACCTATTTCTGCAATAGGATGCTCAAAACTGTTTTGAAGAAGTATGGGGTGACATAAAAAGTCTCAACAACTTATCATCCCCAAACCAATGGATAAGCCGAGATCTCAAACATGCAAATCAAAAGCATCTTGGAGAAAACAGTCAACCCAAACTGCAAAGATTGGAGCATAAGGCTAGATGATGCCTTATGAGCATACGATACTGCCTTTAAAACCCCCCATTGGTATGTCCCCATATATGCTAGTGTTTGGAAAAGCATGCCATCTTTAGGTTGAGCTTGAACATAAAGCTTTTTGGGCTGTAAAGAAATTCAATATGAATGAAGATGAGGTGGGAAACAAAAGGAAGCTAGACATTCAAGCGTTAGAGGAGATTAGGAATGATGCGTACGAAAGCAACATGATTTATAAAGAGAAGACAAAAGCATACCATGACAAAATGATCTCCCGTAAGACTTTTGTGCAAGGAAAAAAGGTGATTCTTTACCACTAGGTTCAAGTTAATTTCATAGAAGTTAAGATCAAGATGGGTTGGTCCTTTCATGGTCACAAGGGTATTTGACCACGGTGCGGTGGAAATCACTAGCCAACAAACTGGAAAAACATTCAAAGTCAATGGTCATAGATTGAAGTCCTTCTACAAAGGATTCGAGGTGAAGAATGGTGAGATAGAAGTTGTTGGGAACCTCACATACCAAGACTTTAAGATAATCGGGGGCAAAGTCGAGCTAACGACTTAAAACAAGGGCAGCTTACCGGGAGGCAACCCGGGGGTATTTCTGTATTTTCTTTAAAAACAATTTCCATTTCTTTGAGTTTTTGGTTTTTAATGTTCCAAATGCATTTAAATATGATTTAAAGTCACCAAACGAACCTTGGGATGCAAAAACATTTCATTTGAATGAGAGGGAAATTTTTTGGGTTCAAAAAGTGGAAGTGGCAATCAGAGAGGTACACAACCCGTGTTCCTCTTGCCTTCCAATGAACACGGTCTTGTTTATCAATGACAAGCAATCTCGCAGTCAGAGAGGTACACAGCCCGTGTCATTTTTCCTTTATGACCAACACGGGCCGTGTTTAGCCAAATCTCGCACATTTTATGCCCAACACGGGCCGTGTCAATTTGCCCTTATGCCCAACACGGGTTGTGTTCGCGCATCAGACTTGGTGGGTTTTAATGCTAACAATCGGGTTTTTGCCTCATTCTTACACACACTCATTCCAAAATAGCACCTTTCCCCCAAGAAAACCCCAAGGTCCAATTTTCATCAAAAATCCTTTGATTCTTCACGATTTTGGCTTAAAACTTCAAAAAGGTTTGATTTTCAACTCCCCCAATTCATCTCCTACATCTAATACACAATTTTATTGCATTTTCATGGTGGATTTGGGGGGTTTTGACAAACCCTAGGTCCAGAAATTTCTTAGAATTTTGGTGTTTTTATGCTTATTTCTTCATGTAGGCAAACTTGGGGAGGTTGAAGACGGTCTTTCTCACCAACTAAAACACATTTCCACAAACAATTCAGTTCATTCTTTCCTATTCTTCACTTGTGGAGTTTGTGTTCTTTAGGTCAAATTGCATGTATCTGTGGTCATTTTGGACTTGACAATAACTTGGAAATTATTCAAAACTGAGTTTCCCGCGAATTCTTGGTGGCAAAACTTTAGTTGACCGGACCCGTCAATAATTGACTTTTTGACCCATTGACCGGTTGACTTTTCATCTTTGCCCCATCTTTTTCATATGGAAGGTGAACATTCTAAACGACCGAGGCATACTAAGGCCTCGACCCGTCGTCGTAGAACCCCATCATCGCCATCTAGGTCCCCGTCACCCCCGCCTCAATCCCCACCCAATCCGGCCCATGGTGGTGTGGTTTGTCTTGGCCCTATTCAAGCTGCCAAACTTGAGGCCTTTCTCCAATGCGCACATACAACCCAACAATTTGTGCATGTGCCATTTCTCCGCGAGTTGCACATCTACAACCAAGTCCACACCTTGTTCCGGAACATTTGATGGCAAGGGTTATTAAGGGTCCACAAGCTCAACTATAAAGTTCCAACAACCTAGTTTTTATCTTCAGTCTATTTGGACCACGGTGTCCTTCATTTTTGGCTTATGAATCAAGATCATGCCTTGTCCCTAGATCAAATCAATGACATAGTTGGGGCTCCTACCGAACACACCTTTGGCCCCAATGATCCAATCCCAAGATACAACGATCTTACGTGGTGGACCAATCTTACATGTCAGCTTCCCTATGTCTCAAATTCTCCTAAGGCCTCATTTCTTATCCACCATGTGATGAAAGTGTCCCACAGGATTATCGCTTCACTTGTCATCCCTAGAGAGGAAAGAAGCACCATTAGCTCCCTTGAGCTCAAAATACTCTATGGTATGGCCCACCCGGACGATAATCTCATTCCTCACTATGGCTCATTCCTATGTAATAAACTCACCCACCTCAGCACATCTCGATCTGGCAAAATATCTTGTGGTGGCATTGTCAGTTTATTTGCCAAAAGCGCTCCAGTCTGGGCCCATATCTTGGAATTCACCAACCTCTTCCCGGTGAGGCCTACCTTACCATGTGAATCCTTGAGTCTATGAGAATGTTTTGGGTGGAGGACGGGAACCATTATTGGACTGTGGGTCAAAACCATGATCCACGGCTCCTCATCACCCCGGAAAATCGGGATATCCTTGCCCTCAGGCGACCCAACAATTTTACCGACTGACAAATCACACTATATCTCTTCCCCGATTCCTTCTCCGAGGAGGAAGAGGAGGAAAATGGAAACAGTGACAAGAGTGGCGGGGCGACACTACAAAATTCTCCTCCCAGGGTTGGTGCCAGCTCATCTCATCAGGTTGGTCACCCATCCTATCACTAACAATATATGGATCAATTTCAGTCGATCCATACCCACCTCGAGACTTACAATCAAGATCTCGCGAACCTAACTGAAAGTTTCTCTTCGTTCACCACTGAATACACTTGAGATAAAGAGCGCCAGTGTAAACATGTGGAGGACTTTTGGGCTTGGACCCGAAACTATGATTACTATCCTTATTCTCCTCCTCCTCCGCAATAGGTTGTTCCGCCCTCTCCAAGCATCAGGGACGATGCTTATCTTTAAGATTGGGGAGGGGTAGAGTTGTACATTAGGTGCATTTCATACTCATGCATACGTTTCTTAAAAAAAAATTTTATTTCAAGTTTTTGCATTTAATCTTTTTCATTTTTTAATCATTTTCATGCATCATCATCATGCCTTTAAAAAAAAGAGTACGAGATGATGACATTCTTTACATACAATAGCTCCAAGAAGTGGAAAAACAAAAAATCAAAATGAAAAAATATGGAAGCAACCAGATAGTTACCGGAAGTGTAGAATCAGCTATCATAACTAGGGGACCCAAACACCGTAATTCGAGACCCTAGCCTTAGATAATAAAAAGAATTTATATTGAAACGTTTTTTGGGCGGTAATAACAGCTTTAGGATGATTTGCTTCTAAATGTATAAAAAGAATCTTTATCGACAACTCTGGACCCACAGAACACGGACCTATTTTTTGACACGCGTTACCCCCGCGGTAACAAAGAGCTTAAGTATCAGATCCATAAAGTCAAGAAAGAATGAAGGGTACAACTTTCTTATCTAGCACCCAAATCAAAATTTCAAGTGCCAAAACGAAGAAATCTCAAGAAATCCAAAAATGAAGATTGAAGAATCCAAGTTAAAAACGAAGTACAAATGAAAGTTCAATCAAATGAAAAGCCAATTCAAAGTTAAATCTAGCGAATAAAGAACTGTGTGATATGATACTTGTGGCTCTAAAAAAAGTGAAAGTATAGGAGCTGGGCTCCTTCAGGTGGGCTCGCTATTTCAGCGAAAGCTGACTCGCCGTGACGGGTTCTTAAGGATGCGTCGATTCTGATTCTTGGCCATCTAGTCTTAAGGACAAGAGATCCGAACTATGTTATTTTTTCCCATAAAGCTTAGTAAGGTATAAAGTTTTAATAAAACTAGGGTTGGATCATTGGGTTACACCGTTTTAGGTCTTCCTCACTTTGGGAGTCTGTGATACATGGAAGGAAGAAGGATGATTGCCTAGGTATTAATGATTGGAGCCATATTGATGTAATGTCTGATCGTACTTATATAGATTATTTACTTGTGCTTTGAATTTCTTTTTGATACATTTTGTTTCTTTAGTGCTTCTGTACATATTTTTCTTTTCCTTTTTCATGGTTTTCGTTGCATGCATTCATTCCTAGCCTTTAGGACCCTTTTGTCCCTTTTTGCTCTATGTTTCATTTTGTCATCTAGAAATCGTCCTATTTTGTCTGATTCTTGTTCTTTCTTGGGGACAAGAAAGGTCTAAGCTTGGGGAGATTTGTTAGGTGCAATTTGTGAACCTTTTTGCACACCTTTTAGTCCCATTTCATGCATCTATTTAGCATAATTGTCCTTCATTTGTCTTGCATTTCATTGTATTTCTTGTTATTCTCTAGGACAACCTTATTTGCACATTTTTATGTCTTTTTCAGGTAAACCAGAGGTTGGAATGCGCTTTGTAAGGTGTCGGGAAGCATTGGTGAAGATTTTGGGATGGTCGGGCGAAGAACGAAAAAGTTGGAAAAAGCAAGTTTGGATTCGGATTCAGAGGGCTACACGGCGCATGTTGGGTTTGGCCTAGAAATCCAACACGGGGTGTGTTTGACCATTCTAGGCACTTTAACGACACTGAACACGCCCCATGTTCATTTAGCCTATTTGGACACGGGGTGTGTTGGTCCAGATGAACACTTTTGAGCATCATACTTTAGAGTTTGAATCGAGGATTGAAGGGTGTGTTTTCACTCAACACGACCCATGTTGATTTACTCTATATCTACACGAGCCGTGTTCGACTTAAAAACTGCTTTTTGGCAGTTTTTCCTATTTTCCTTATCTTGAGAATTGGGTCATTTTGAGGGGATATCAGAGCATAGATTGGAGGGTAAAATTTGAAGGTTTTAGAAAGGGTTTGTCCGTTAATCATTTGGAAACATTTTAAATTCTTCTTTGTAAGCACTTTAGCACTTAATTTCATCTTTTAAACTTGTTAATCTTGTTCTAGCCATGTGTGGCTAGAACCCTAACTTCTCCAATTTCATGTTTTGACTTTTTGGTTGTGAATCAAATCATATTACCTTATGTTTGTGTTTAATTTTTATCTAGTGAAACTGATTTTACTTTAATCAAATGTTTGATTCTAATAATGATTCTTATTGGCCATTTGAATTAGGGTTAGGTCATTCAAGTTATTCATTTTGCAAAATCCGTAATTGTTTTGTGAGTTGAACTAAGTAACAAACATTAAATTGATTTCTTATGAATGAATTTGGTGTAAATCTTTTCACACATTCTTACGCTCTCGAGATTGTGAGGAGTATTGGGTGGTGTTGGGAACATTCATAATAAGCTTAATGCAATCTTTTAATCTAATTCTAAGAGCTTGTTTAGATTAGGTTGGTAAGGTTAGGGTTAATCAAAGAGATTGTTTTGATTGATTAATGTGGTGAACGAAAAGTGTTAGAGCTTTTTAACACTTTTAAGTACCAACTTAGATAGAATGAAACAAATGTCTTGTCATCTTTGATTCACATTGCTGGATTGTCATACATGAAGTTGGAGTCCTTACAAAATCTTAACTTAATTCACTAATTTGGCCGATTACGTGTGTTTTTAATTTGTTTGTTTAGTCATTGCATTCTAAACCCCCCACCCCCCCTTTTACTGTTGGTGACCATAGTACCTTGTGCAAAGAGGTATATGCTAATTATCCCGTGTCTCTGTGGATCGACCCTATTTGCCTTGTACTACCTTTTAGTGCAATATAGTGGGATTCTTTTGGATTATATCGCATCCCTTTATTTATTGGGTTTGACATGCCTAACAATACTTTATTATTATCATAGATTAGGTGATGTCTCTTATTTGTAGGGATTCACATCGTATTGCTTTACTATACGTATTAGGGTTCGTATCATTAGTTGTTTATCGAACCCTAGATCTTAGTGCTCATTCTCTTGATGAAAACATTTTCTTAGTGAAAAACCATTATGTTACTCTTCTTTGTTCTTTCATTCATTCTTATTGTTAATCTTCATAGATCAAGGGAACCTATAACTATTATCAGAGCAGGTTCCTTTAATCGATTAACAATGTCTTCATCATCTTCTTCAAATCCTTCCAAAACCACTTGTAGTAATAAAATTCCATAGTTTGATGAAAAGAATTTCACCATATGGAAATCAAAGGTAATGATGGTCCTTGAAACTATAGATTACTTCATGATAGACATTGTCAAAAAGGGTCCTCGTATACTTATGATCCAATCTATGAAGGATAATATTCAAGATGGTGATTATATCCAATAACTTGTCCATGAATTCAGTGATGAAGATGAACTCCTTTATACTCTTGAAGTTAGAGGCCATTTTGCCATAAGAAACTCTCTTCCCTATGATTTCTACCAGTCCGTTCAAAATTGGCAATTTTCTAAGGAGATGATGGATATGCTGATTGTTTCCTATGAAGGTGGTGATGAAGTTAATGATGTTAACATGAATAGTCGAAATCAATGATATGTGCATTTTGATCAGCAAAAGAATGAGTCTCTTACTCAGGTCTTCAATCTTTTTAATTTCTTAATGAATGATTTTAGCTCCCAAGTCGCCGGGTATAAAATTAATCTATTATCCTATTTAATTAAGAAAAAGGTGGTGAAAGGGGTCATGAGTGCGTTGGGTGTATATTAGGTACGCACGACATACTCCTTGCATGCACATCATCAGGCTGATCCTGACGTACGCTAGGCGTACTCAAGCCAGGGGAAAACGTCAATTTTTAGGGTTGTCACATTAATTAAGGTCCTTAAGGTCTTTAAGTGCATAACCCTTTCATCCTCCATTGTGTTTTAGTGCTAATCTTGAAACCCTATCCATCTTGAGTGCATTTTTGAGCTTAAATTGTGTGTTTGGGTTTTCTTTGGTAGTTTTGAAGAAGAAGGAAGTTTGAGAAGAAGAAAAGGAGAAGAAGGCGCTTGTAGATCTAGAGTTTGTGCATCATTTCTAACCTATTGAAGGTATAAAGTCTGAAACTTGTTCATTCTATGCCTAGATCTAGATTTAGTGAAGATTTTAGCATATTTAGTCCCATAACTTGGTTTTTTTGAGTATAGGCTACTCCAGGCTATTTGAGCTGTCCTTTTGGACTATTAGGAGTGTATGGATTCATAAAAATTATATCTTGGAGGTTAAGACTCAATCATGCATGTGCTAGTGACCACATTTAAGAGTTAGAGGGATTAATTCTTGGTTTGAGTCCTATTAAGGCATGTAAGTGCATAAAATTTGCAACTTTATGGCTTAAGACACTATTATAAGCTTGGATCTAAGTTTTAGATGCTAGGGCTTAATGGATTTATACTTGGGTGCAAGTTTGGGCTAACTAGCCAGTACATTGGGCGTATTCTAGATTACTCTGCGTGTACTGGGCCAGTGCCCCGATTCCGGATCGTCATTAATATACGTTGGCCCTATGTATGTTGCATATACGTAGTCTGTGGACTTAGAAGATTTTTGGGCTTGAGTATTGTTGGACTTTTTACTTGTTTAGATTTGGGCCTCAGGCCCACCTATTGTAGTAAGGTATTCGTGGGTTTTAGGTTGTGTTGGGTACTCTTAGGCCATATTGGGCCTTGGAGGCCTTGTAGTTGGGCTTGGATGCCTTTTTAGGCTTGTATGGATTTAGGCCTTGGTGAGAGGAAGGCCTAATGAGGAAAGGGTGAAGAAACCCTTTTTGCCTTAAATTCAAGGATGAGGGTTTGGACTTTCGGGTTAGAATATTGGCCTAATTTCTAATTAGGGTTTTATACTTGTGCCTTGGGGAGAGGATTTCATAAGTCATC